CTTGATCTGCTTCAGCGATTCGTATAAGGTTCGTGCAGAGCCCTCAATATATAATGATTTCTGTATAGGTCTCTCATTATTTGCAGTATCCTAAAGGAACAACAGAGGTTTACTCCTACTTCGAATGCCGCGGTGGCAAATTTCCAGAGACCGTCTTCTTTGGATTACAGTACATCATAAAAAGATACCTTGCTGGCCAAGTTGTAACATTAAAAAAAATCGAAGCAGCCAAGGAAATGATGAAAAAACACTTTGGCCGAGATTTAATGAATGAAGAAGGGTGGCGCTACATTCTACAAGTACCTTTCATTTCATTTTAATTTCTACTTCAGGAGCACGATGGACACTTACCTATACGGATTAAAGCCATTCCCGAAGGAATGGTAATACCGGTTAAGAACGTACTATTCACGGTTGAAAATACAGATCCGAAGTGTTACTGGTTAACCAGCTATCTTGAAGTAAGAGTTTTTTTCGTACTTACAGTCCGCAGACCATCCTTGTCCAAGTTTGGTACCCACTTACTGTGGCCACGAACTCTTTAGCATTCAAGAAAATAATATTTCAGAGCCTTGAAGAAACATCTGACGACCTATCAACCTTACCATTTCTTATGCACGATTTTGGCTTTAGAGGAGTCTCATCAATTGAGGTAAGTCACTAATACACAGTTGATAAACTCGTCGTATTTCATTAGTTAATTGGAAACAAATCGTCATTGTTACTTTTCAAGGAATGGCCATGTCATCTTGTTTAGTTATTTTGTCAGTCTTCATTAACATTTGGCATTTTCTGTCCTGAATTCTTCTTGAACTTTATAATGCGATCTACTGGTCGTAAAAAGTAACCTGTCTGTCCAGTGTTTATTTTGGACAATCAAACGCTCACTAATAGTATCTTCAGTGTTTACAGTACATGCATCGTAGCTCAGCCTTAAACCTAGCAGGAGGCGCCTTTTCTTGCAGCCGTAACCTAATTTTATCCCTAAATCGATTATTATGTTTGATTTATCTAAACTATCCACGACAGCTCAAATAATTTATTTAATGTTCCTTAATTTTTCCTCCACCACAAGCAACGAGGTCCTACAGTGTTCCAGAAATTGCCATTTTTACTTACGGGTTATTTTTTGTTGAAAATGAATCTTCCGTAACATTCCGATTTCCACGTTCACTATGCTCTAGTCGCAGGTTGAGTCAGCTCGGACGCGGTTATTGACCAAACTAAAACCATATCTACGCACCTCACTCTGGTGTTATTCCTTTATTCTGAGGTAGCCCATATTCCACTAGCTGCTCTTGATTCGCATGTGGAAAGGTCCTAAGAACAAATTTATAGAACCAATGCAACCAAATTCTCTGTATCATGTATGACCATGTTCTGTTATCTGGTGAACTTGCAAACCGTACTTTGCGCGTCGTATTTGTTTAAAATCTTATTTGCCCTTTGACAGACAAACCCGGGCTGGGGTTCCGAACTGGGACCATCAAACTTTTCCTCGCCCTCTCTTCTATAGCTGCGTTAGGTCAAGCCAACCACAAGTTATCTTAAGCGCAGAGACTGATGTACCGCGACGCCTAAGTTTAACATGCTGCATGCCTCCTTACTCATAATTACATAACTATTCTTGTATTGGGCGTTTCATTGTAATGTAGTTGTCGGCCTTCCAGTCCACTCATTGAAGTTATTTATATAGCTATAATCTCCTTCACCCTTAGTTATATGTACTATTTTGCTTGATTTTAGTCAGCGTCAATAGGCGGTGCGGCCCACCTAGTATGCTTCAAAGGTACTGATACCATGGCAGCCCTTGGCCTAGCTAAGGAGTTCTACGATTGTGATATGGCTGGCTTTAGCATTCCTGCCACTGAGCATAGGTAAGATTTCAATTTTTGTTTTTTAATCACTACGAACGTCCGTAACCTTTATGTTTTGTACTATTCTTAGTTTCATCCACTAGGATGCTTATGAATTTGGGTTATAGTTGTATACTTTTTATCTTCACATTTTTTATTGTGTTTGGCCACTGGCTTCTTTTTACGAATGGGCTTTTCCATGTTGAGCATTTGCATGTCTGCGTCATTTTTAATTGTGCTCTAACCTTGTCTGAATGCTTGGCTTAGGAACGTTCACAAGATATTATAAACTGACGCACTTGACGTCTCTCAACTACGTCACCTTTTCTGGGTTTCCTGTTGCGGACTATGCCCCTAAAAGTCTTTGTGTTAGTGTTGGGAGCCGCCTCCTTCTACGGTTTTAACCTCTATATTACTGTGATTTAATCTAATTCCTGCATGCCAAATTGAAAGGAGCTACTTATGGATTCGCCTGCGGCTATTTTCTGGCTTTCTTGTGGCTTAAGTAAATTTGTCATTTCTACTAGTGATCCATTCGCACGACCACACCCTCTGCCATTGCGCAGATTCTCAAGTAACCTAGCAATGCGCCACTTAAGAAATTTTCTCTGTTGTAACCACCAAGGAAGTTCGTTCTGATTCGAACCATAAGATGCTTCGGTTGGGTGACCACGTTTGAAGTGGGTCCATTTTTTCTCGAAATCACCGCGCATAGGCAGAAATACTTTACAATAGATATGCTGGTAACTGACAACCTCTTCGGTCTTATTGATTCTGACACAGGAACACACGCATAATAATCAAATTTATCCGTCTTGCTCTCTGTATAAATTCTTTGATCTTTGGTGCTTCCTATAGTCATTTATAAGTGGCATCCCTCTCCATTTTAATCAAGCCGATACGTTTTGGTGTGATTTTGCTGTGACTCGTTATGCTTTATCCGGATTAAATAAAGTGGATATTGTTCCTTGTTTTAGTAATTTGTAGATGAACTTGCCCTACTTATTTTTCTAGTAAACCCGATGCACTTCTCATTCCTCTGTCTATTTCTAATTTTGGGACCTGAAACGCTTGAATTATAACATTTAGAGCGCTTGCTGATCACTTGTTTTTACTTGGGGCACATTTCTTTCGCGTTATCTAACTACCATCGCTGATTTTGGTTTTTTACATTACCTTTCATACAGCGTTTATAGTCACTAGTTTAGTAAACATCATGTCTGGTTAGACGAAGACCGTGTTTCCTTGCCAGATCCAAAAAGATTGCGAAAACACCAGCAAAGGCCTTTGCTTAACAGTCAGTTGAGCAGCCTCTCCCGTGTTTTAATACGGTTAGCTCTCACTTCTTAAAAGAAGGAGGCGGAGCGGCTTTGGTGTGTCCCAACTCACTGCGCTAACAGTTTGGAAAGGCCGCTAAAAAATAACATTATGTAACCGTGGTAGACTTTAATTAGGCGTATATCTTCACCCGCGGCTCTGTTTCTTCGAACAGTCGTAGGGGGACTGCTGTCTTAGCAACTCTTCAATGAATGCCGAAGAACCAGTTAGTACTTTTTACTTACGTCAAAGTCGAGTCTCGTTCCAATTCAGACGGTATCCTTTTTGGTCGTCTCTAATTGGCTTAGTAGGATATTGCAATGCTCTAAAGTTTTCGACTCCAGATGCTCGCATGTACTGCGTATCTTTGGCTGACCGAACCGTTTTTCCGGACATCTAGTCTTTTTGATTTGTGTTCTTTGTAGTGAAAAGGCACAAGAGAACCCGCAGCCGTAATATTCTTTAATAGGATCCGATTCTCTAGTAAACGAGCGTTATAGTGGCTATCTTGACAAGCACGACTGCTTTTTTTCACTGAATCGAATCTTACGATAATCGAGGCTTTCTCTCGTTCTCGCACTCCCTTTACTAACGCCGGTATTAAGCTAACCTGCGTGTAAATTATAGACCGCTTTCCACCAACTAAGACTATGGGCACCGTTGGTGTGGTGGTTTCACTCCTCCTTCCTCACCGAACTAACATAGGTAATCTGAATAGTCGATCAAGCAATTTCGTATTCATTTTATCCTCATTAGAAACTTCTTATAGTCCCACTGCCTGTTTTTGGAGAGATTTCCGATGATCGTACCTTTGACTTTGTATTTCTAGCACAATAACGGTATGGCAAGAGGCTGGTGAGGCCGACGCGTACCGCAATCTGCTTGAACAGTTTCCCACTGGTTCTGTCGCCTGCGTTTCTGACAGCTATAACATTTGGAACGCTTGCGAAAAAATATGGGGCGAGACTCTGCATGACCTCGTGAGTTTTTGCCTTTTTCTCCTGCATTGCAATTTGCCTTGTTATGTCGTCTCACTCAGAGTTTGCCTGTCCCTCGGTATAAGGAAAACAGTTTCGGTTTAAACAGTTCTCTCCTACTTCTCATGTTCTATATATGCATAGTGGCGAATAGGCGCTCACAGATCGGGATTCACTCGTCCTTTTGTGCCTTCGGGCTCACTCTCAAACCCCGCTAGCAGCCACATACTTTTTAAAAACTGCATCCGCCTTTTCCCGAAAACAGTGCCTTTTCTCATACTTGCATTTGGGGCTCGTTCATAGAAAAACACGCATAATCAAGAGGTTTTAGTTTACAGCGATTAATAGCGTAGGAAATTCTTCGGATATCAAGAAATGTTGGATTTTGTCCAATTCTGTCCATTTTTTCCTTCTGAAATGAGCTATTTTTCTTAGTAAACTGCTTTTTGCGTCTCAAATCAATTCAATAAACATAAAGAATAACTATTAGAGGGTTTGGGAGATTTAAATAATTCAGTTGACCCAGTTGTGAAAAAACTATGGCCTCGGTGGTATTCGAACCCACATCAGTAAGATAGGCTGTCGTACAGCCAACGCTCTACCAATTGAGCTACGAAGGCACGCTGAACTTCGTGAATTTAATCACACTTGGGTCGATTTACCCGCCCAGCCTACTGCAGCAGTATGCACGGTAGTCATTCTGGTGGATTCTAGATGATTGCTTAGGAAATCCTGCTTGGGCTGTCAGCTTGTTGTTCCGTATTGGTGAATTCTAGACAAGCGGTAAAGTTGGGCGGGTAAAATCGACCAGAGTGTGATTACCTACTATATCCGTAATGGCGGATTCCATACGTGCAATAGGCTGAGCGGGTAAATCGACGTGTCCCAGAAGAGCTAGATGATTTTAAACAAAGAAGGACCGCTGGTTTCCCGGATTTCACCACAGTGTTCGAAACGGTCAAACAATCTGCCCTCTGGAATGCACTAGG